TCACTGGTAGACTGCTTGCCTTGCATGTGCAAAGCCCTAGGTTTACTCTCCGACAGCAGAATAAATAAAGAACCAAAAACAACAGCAAAAAACCACCAAATAAAGAAAAGTAAAACTGAGATTTCAAGAGATTAAATAACTGGTCCAAAGTTACGTAAGCCACAGAGCCAGGATCTGAATCCACATCTGTCTGCACCAAAGTGGGAGCCCGGTGGACAATCAGCTCTGAGGCCCATCTGGGGACCCAGATCCTAACTGGGAACTTGCAAAATGAAGCAGTGCTTTTAGCAGTGTTATAGGACAGACCCCAAGGACCCCAGAAGCCAGCTCAGTCAGGTCTAGGTGCAACACACTCTAATATGCTTTCTCTGATGCCGCCTTGGTGACACAGTGGGTGATTCAATTCCCCGCATGACACATGCGCACTGTCATGTGGCCCTGCTGCCGCCCAAAGAGCTTCCCATGGGCTGGCCAGGGGAGCATGGCAGCCAAGCTGCCGGAAGAGGCAGGTGACTTCCAGCTTCTCCTGGTGCTCTCCAGGTGCGTCTGCACTCACTATAGTTGTCAATTTCCGGGAAGCTGGCACCGGCTAGCTCCTCCTCTGTCTATTGTTGACTGGAGTCGTCCTGACAGCAGCCCTGCAGCATTTCCGTCTGCACACAGCCCTGCCGTTAGCTGGTGGAGAGGCTGAAATCAACTAGCATGGACTCTGCCTTCTCCTTTCCTCACATGTAGTCCCCCTCAGGAGTCACAGGAAGAGAGGTACCTCCTTTCCAGGAGCCTCTTAGGGTGGGTCCTTCTCTGGCCCTGCACTTCCTCTAGACTGCCCCAGTCCTGCCCCAGAGCTCCTGCACCAGCACCCACAGACTCCCTTGCAGGAATGCTAGCTCTCCTGTGTCCCTGGGGGACCGCGAGCCCAGAGTCAGTCAGCCTGGCCACAGGAGGCCGGGAGCAGCAGAGCCTCAGGCCAGGTGAGAAGCTGCTGCTGATAAAGAAGGGCAAAAGAATCCAAGTCGACAGAGGGGACCAGGTTCCGGGACAATTTCTGATCTGCAGGTTGGAGGGCTGCCTCGGCTGACTGTTTAAGTTCTGTAGACTTAGCCCAGAGCAAATCCCCTCAGTCTGGCCAATGTCTGGGTCATGGATGGATATGGAGAGCCTGAGACTCTCCTCACTGACTGTGGGCTTTGTGATGGGCCACTCTGAAGACTCAGTTGCTGCAGAAAGCACACAGATGGTCCATACATGTAAAGGGGGCAGCAGAAAGAAACCCCTACTTAGTCCATGCTGAAAGGATTTGCAGTATTAAGATGAGACTGATTGCAAATCATTGCTTCTCACTCACAGTTAACTAAGAACTGGATCTGTTGCCCAGAAAGTAGACTTTGTTAACTAAACAAACTTTTAGAATATGTCTTGGGATAAACATAAATTCTATCTGAATTTTCATACCCCCTGCATCACACAATTCAGTTTCCTAATAGACTTACTGAGGACCTACTTATGCTGGTATCTTACTAGCTCTAGAGACACGTGAAGGGAAGATTAAATCATGTTAGCTTTTCTGTGCTTTTTAAGACACTAAAAAAGGAGTAAAATACTTTGAAAAGCTTTAGTAAGAAAGAGTAAAAAGGAGAAAATGGAGAAGAAAAGATCAGGTGTGAAATACATTGTGGACTTCCTGTGTTTTCTCTACTGCACCCAGCCATGTTCTGTGCCTAGCAGTCAGATAAGCACTTGCCTAATGGAACAAACCGGTAAATTAAATTAATTTAAATGCCCCTTTCCCTTTTTCTTTGTGCTTTTTCACTCCTCCCAAAATTCCAGCAATTTGAGGTTTTACAAAACTACCAAGTTATCCTGCCAAGAAAACTTCCAAGCTAAAGAAGTTAGAGCCCCAGAAGCCAAATTTCAGCCGCAAGTGACATTTGGTTCCTTTCCCACTTGCAGGCCACATCCTTTTCCTGCTAGAGGTTCCAAGCAGTGCCCCAACCCTGGATAAAGCACGTTCTCTTTTGTTCTTTTCCTTCACTTTCCTTTTATAATTAATTTTTCTTAGTTGAGATGCTTCACCTTTCTTTTATTTTTATGCAGTGCTGCAGATTGAACTCAGGGCCCTTCACAAACTGGGCAAGTGATCTTCCGCTGAGTTACATGGGCAGCGCCATGCTTTTCTTCTAAGTTTCTCCTGCCTTGCATGCAGGCCTTAGTTCAGTCCCCAGCAGGCAGAAGAAAGAAAGAGAGAGGTAAGGAAGGAAAAAGGGAGGCAAGTAGGAAGAGGAAGAAAGGAAGAAGGAAGGAAGAAGGCAGAAAGGAGGAGGGAAGAAGGCAGAAAGGAGGAGGGAAGAAGGCAGAAAGGAGGAGGGAAGAAGGGGAAGGAAGGAGGAAGAGAGGAAGACAGGAAGAGAAAAAGAGAAAGGAAGGAGGCAAGGAGGCAAGGAAGCAAGGAAGGAAGGAAGGAAGCAAGGATGGAAGAAAGAAAGAAAAACATTTTCTCTTTTATTGATTTTAGCTCCATGGCCAAAGTTGGCCAATTCATAATTGTGTGGAAAAGTGAACAGAGATCAAGTGAAAGCAAAGAAACCAGCTTAGGAAAAAAGCAAGACAAAGCTAAGGGAAGTATATCTTGCAATAGGAACACGGGACTACATGACAAAAGGCATCACTAACAAAATAAAAAACAGATTCAGATTTTTAGTCAAATTTCTTCTTATTTAATATACACATCCAATACTCTAGTACTGAGAGATCCTTTTTAAAACAAAATCTTCAGGACAGCATTCTTATATTTATGAAAACATTTAATTGGAATAGTGAACAATCATTTTGGATAGTACAATAGCTGCTGGACAAATCCTGTTCATGCTCTCCTTGTTGGAAAAGTCCCCGGAAGCAGGTGCGACCTGGGGAGGCACTGTAATCTAATTCTGTCAGCTAAGGCAATGTCTTGGCCTTCGTGGCGTTCAAGGTCAGTGACCGGACTGAGCTAATCATTACTACCAGTTTGGTTCACCGTGGGAGGGGCTGTGAGGGGTCCCTTGGGCAGGTGTGGAGGGGGCGCGTGGGGTGAGTTAAGAGAGTTCCCAGGCACGAGATGCACATCAGCTTCCTCACAAGCGACACTGCTGGTGTGAGGAGAGGACGGGGCAGCTGTGAGAACAGAGGGATGACAGGCATAAAGTCTTGGAAGGAAATGAGGTGCCTCTGCTTGAAATCTTGATGTTCTCCTTCTGAGAAGTGATTGGTGATGCATTCCCATGCTTCCGGAAATTATTCAAAGATCTTCTTCTTCCAATTTTTTTTTTTGGTACCAGGGAGCAAACTTGTGACCTTATGCTTATGAGGCAGGCAGCGGGAACCACTGAGCTAAATTCCCTGCCCTTTCTTCTTCCAATTCTTAAAATGTGGTGGCTGTCTCGACCTGAATCCTGCAGGTGTGTGTCTGTACACAGGATGGGGCAGGGTAGCTGTGCACACAACAGCTGATGACATTTCCTAAGCCCTTCAGCCTGTGGGTAGTAGTCAATGCACTCTACAGACATCTCCGTTAAATTCCAGAGCAGCCCGAGGTATTCCTCTCCAAGGAAATAGTCGCAAAAGGCCATGAACCCGGTGAAGGACAGCTATACAGAAGTGAAGTCTGTCTCACTACCTTGCTTGTACTCTACAGACCCAAGCAGTCTCAGCGCTTGGAAAAACAAACCCTGTGTTCTTAATTATCCACTTTCTCTCCCTCCTATTTTTAGCTTGAGGCTCATTTCCCATTTCAGAGCCATTTAAACACCCACCCTCATTTTTAATCTCAACTCACCATCCCCCGGTCTAATACTCTGTGATGATGTTGTTTGTCCCCAGTTCCCCAAACCCCAAATTGATCTTGGTTTCAGAATAATTAACTTATTAGCAAGATGGCTATGAGAGGCTTGATAATAAAAAGTAATTACAGAATGGAAACAGAACAGAGGGTTTTTAACAACTTAATAGTCATTGGATCCTCTGGGTAACAGAGCAATTTTGCCCCAAGTTTTAGGAAAAATATAGATGTAACAGGAGGCAAAAGGAAAATTACGAGAATGAAAGTTAGCTTTTTAATAATGGGTTTTACTTTTAAGATCCACAGGCAGAGAGGAAGAAAATGAATGTGCAAGGGCTGGGAATTTAGCTCAGTGGTTCCGCCGCCTGCCTTGAAAGCACAAGGTTCCGAGTTCAATCCCTGGTACCAAAAAAAAAAAAAGAAAAAAGAAAATGAATGTGCAGATGGATTTTGAAACCACCTTATAAATTATTCTGATGCTAAGATTTTATATGAAATTAGCTCACTCAACTACCAGAATAACTATTCTTATTTCTCTGTTAAAGTGCTTGACCTTTAACAAGAAGCAACACGTAGAAAAAGACAATACTTGATATCATAAATATCTGGAGTTTATTTGTTGAATTGAGCTATAGTTGATCATACAGAAAAATATATTTATATTTAAATTATACAGATTATATTATATAATGTTATATATTAAAATATATATTTATATGTTTTGGCTTTTTATATTGTGTGTTTGTTTTGTTGGTACCGGGGATGGTACTCGGGACCGTGCGCTTTTGCGGCAGGCGCCGGAACCACTAAGCTAAATCCGGGCCCTTGTTCTGGCTTTTTGAGATGGGGTCTCACTAAGTCACTAAGTTGCCCAGGCTGGGCTCTTGAACTTTTCATCTTCCTGCCTCAGCGCCCCGGAGTGCTGCGGTTACAAGTTGTGTGCCACCAAGCCTGGCTGATAAAAAAATAATCTTATTGGCCATCTATTATTCAGCCAACTCCACTCTCAGCAGATTCAGACTCCTGTGCTGACTCTGCCCCGGAGGGGGGTGTGGTCTTGGTAGATCTTTCAGGCAGGGGTGGAGCTGAGCCAGAAGGAGGAAGAAGAGCGGGTGGGGACACAGACCAGTGTGACTTCACCAAAGACAGAGGCATCTGAAGAGCTGCTCGGCCTCTGGGTGGCCGCGCGGCACAAGAGCTTCTCTAAGGCTTCACCTCTGCCACCAGGCCCGTGGTCACCCTCCTCCACAGGGCCTGCAGCAGATCGCTACAGAAAGGCCTCTGAGGCTCGTGCAGGTTGTTACAGAGAGCGCCCCGCTGGGCACACAGGGTCCAGCTAGAATCAGTCAGGACCTTAAGGGCACCAGGCAGAGCCTGAGAAAAACAAAATGAAAACCAATTGCGAACGCAACCAACCTTCAGGCTTGGCGTAATGAGGCAAACCCGATCACACAAAAACAAGATGTCTGTCAGCTTTTACAAAATGACAAAGTCATTTTGTAGAAAATGTATTTTTCAGGACCTCTTTCTTTCCAAACAAAACTCTGCCCTTATCCCCAAAGAAAGAGAATCCACCCTCCCCCTGGCACCAGTGAGGGAGAGGAGCCCAGGTGGTGTCTGTCTTCTTCCTCCGCAGCCACTCACCACAGCGAGGAGGAGAGAGAGCCCTCGCCCTCTCCTGTCCGCTCCAGTGAGCTGGGAGACAAGACTGGCGGGGAGCTGACTTTCCAGTCTCTTGCCAGGTCCCGCGTCTCTTCAATGCTGTGCTAGGAGCCATCAGCTTCTCAACAAATATCCCCGTAAGCTCTCGAATCTGCAGGCTCCCTGAAGTCTCCAATAGCTGACTGTGACTCAAGTATTCGCTGAGGGGCTGGCCCTTGGGGTAGCATGCAAATACATTTTCCTTCAGACTCACACAGGACAAGACAGAAGATAATGTTTTCAGCTCCTACGAACATCATTTCCCAGTCTGAGTGGGAACTTTCACTAAAGGTGAGTGAGGCAGTGACGCTGAGTGAACAAACACTCCATTAATTCACTAAGAACACTTATTGAGCAACTACTGTATGCCATCCACAAGGGACTCAATGTTCAGGAAAACGGGATTCTTACAGAGTTAAGAGTTGAAAGGGGAATTCACTTGAACCTTACCATTAACACAGGATGAGGGTCGTCACAGAGCCGTGTAGAAAAGCACAGTGGGGAGAGCAGAGAAGAAAAGGTAAGTTGGTTTCAGAGAGGGGTAGGTTTTTTTCCATTGTGATTTCATATTTTAAAATTTGATTTTATTAAAAAATTTAATTTTAATGTATTACAAGTAGATATTAATGAAGAAAATATAAAAGCCGTTTTATGAAAAAATAATTTTTCATAACAAAAATTATTAGAGAATAACCATGGTAAATACAATGAATATCATGATCTTTTTTTTGGTACCGGAGATTGAACTCGGGTCCTTGCGCTTGCACAGCAGGCGGCGAAACCATTGAGCTAAATCCCTGGCCTGAATATCATGATTTTAAAAGAATATATTTTTATTTGCTAATCTATCTCCCAGCTCATTTCCTAATAATACTATACCTTTTAAAAAACATTTTAAGTATTGACAAAGTATCTCACATTCCGTATAATTCTGAAAAATTTCTTCCTGTTTTACAGTATTTATTCTTCTTTTTGGTCCTTATTTTCACTTTCAATTTCTCACACCAGAGAGGCAATGCAATATTTACACATGTGTGTTCAATTTATTTCACTGAAGAGTATATTCTCAAGGTGCATCCATTCACCTAGAAATGGCTCGTTTATCCTTCTTTATGGCTGAATAGTACTCCAATATATCAAAAAACCCATATCTTTTTTTCCCATTCAGCAGTTGAGGGGCATTCAGAAAGGCTGTGCAGCTAGTGGGAGTGAGGGTTAAAGACAGCGCGGCAGGAGAGAGGGCATCTGAAACCCTAGAGGCTGACCAGCGCTACCACTACCGCTGTCTGGCTCACCCTCTTTCCTCACCTACAGGAAGGGAATTCCTGTGTCATGCTGTGGCTTGCTGAAGGCATTCAGTAAGAGAATCCATTATTAACATCGAAGCAGCATGCAGTAAATCTCCAAATTTCACCTATTACCATGTTGGGGAGGGGCAATTGCTCTTCCACGTAGAATCCCATGTTTCTGGAAGTGTTTAACCTAGGATAAGTTCTTTTAAAATAATTGGTTTTTTTTTTGAGATAGGGTCTCACTATATAGTTCAGCCTAGCTTTGAACTCATTATGTAGCTCAGACTGGTCTTGAACTCATGGCAATCCTCCTGCCTCAGCCTCCTGAGTACTGGGATTACAGGTACGAAACACCCCACTGGGGTAGGATAAGTTCTTTAAAGTACAAAATGATTTATGTCTTTTTTTGACAACTTCTCAGTCTCATCTTTGCTTCTTTGTAACCCCCTTGGTTTGCACTCATTTTATAAATACTATAACAAAGGTAAAAGAAATAAAAGCCACAAGGGCTCCTACAGCCTGTGCTTGGCTCTTCTCTGCCTCAGCCTGTGACCAAGCCACTAACCTAGAGGAGGGCCTGCGAGGGGAGACATGGAGAAATGAACACATTGCTATCTTGATGGATTTGCCTGAAAAAGAAGTGTAAGGTATCACAACAAACATGCCCTAAGAACCAGGCCACCTTTCTGTGCTTCCCCTGAAAGTTAGTAGTAACTACAGTATCATAAAATACCTTCTAGAGCTTTAAAGTATTTTAAAAGAAATCCTATGATTATTTCCTGCTCAGAAGGACAAAATGACAGACTGTGGGCAAAGTGGCAAGTGTGAAGTGGGAAACAACAGCAATGACATTAACACAGGGCCGCTGGAACTGGTTTCCATGGATTTCAGGAAAACACTGGCTCCTCCGGCCACTAAAAGGCCATTTCCTTTCAGCACAGAACCCTGACCTACTTAGCGGTCTTGTCAGAAGAGTCGGAACCACTATGATGTGTGTGGATTTGGACTCACAATTAATAGTGCTGTTGGCTGTCAACAGAGGAGAACGTTAATCCCCCAGCACATGCTGAAGAGTCATCAACACAGGCTCTTTTTTTCAAATTGAAAAGAATTCCAAGTAGCCATATACTTAACTCCCTTTAAGGTAATACTGGTATTCATTTAAAATGTGTTCTTTTAATTTTTGGCTTAAACTTCAACTCAGCTATCTCATATCTGGCCCCGAATAAACCACAAATAGCCTTGAAGGAGAGCAAAGCAACTCATTAGAAAGGTCGCAAATGCATTAAAGGCTTTTTCATGTCTGATTCATAGGATTTAGGATTTGAAAACTTATGTCCTGGAAGAAGACTAAAACATTAACATCTGCATTAATCTTGTGTGTTCCAATAACACTTATTTTTTGTTTGTTTGTTTGTTTTTTGGTGCCGGGGATCAAACTCAGGTCCTTGCACTTGAGCAGCAGGTGGCAAAACCACTGAGCTAAATCCTCGGCAACACTTATATTTTTAACTACAGTCAGGCCTAAACAATTTAAAATGTAGAATTACATTTGTGCATATTCAGTGATTAATCTGTCATACAGCAGAGACAAAAATATTAAGAATCTTCTGGATGTTTTCACCAGGCTGCATGATCTAAGGATTCTAGAATTTCTAATTTGTAGATCTTCCTTTTAGAAGGACGGGATGCAACTGCTAATTCTATCTTTGTTTTTGGGTTTTAGGTATTGTTTCTTTTTTTGAGGCAGAGTCTTCCTATATAGTTCAGGCTGGCCATGAACTCACTATGCAGCCCAGGCTGGCCTCAAATTCTCAGCGATCCTCCTGTCTCAGCCTCCCATGTGCTGGAATGACAGGCTTGTGTCACCATGCCCGACTGTTAATTTTGTCTTCTTAGAGGAAAGCAAAGCCATTGTGTGAAGCTAGAAATGACCAGAATCATTGATTCTCAAGGTCTGTTTTAGCTGTTTGTTTCATTTCTGTTGCAGTGCATTCTGGAGCATGTACTGAAGAGGTTCAATGTGTGGGTTCGAATACCAGACCAGCTACGTGGCTGTAGAAAACATATCCATCTCAATTTCTGCAGGTATATAATGGGGATGACAAAAGCTCACACCTGATGAAAAGCAGTTTAAAAATTTTTAGAAATCTATTTTATTATTATTGTACGGTTGCATACAAAATAATTACATTAATCTTAGAGAGTTGGGATATATACATACAGTAAGTAACTTGATCATTTTTACTCCTTCCTCTTTACCCCTTCCCATTTTCACAAAGTCTACTTCCTTTTTCTACCATCTCCCTTTCATTCTGCTCATTAAATTATTAATATTTTATGCTTTTCTTATAAGAAAAACCCCATGTTATTTCTCCTTCTGTGGCCAATGATTTCACTTAGCCTGGTGGCCTCCAGATCCATCCAGTGGAAATGTTGCACAGATGCTAGCCACTCTATTATAATCTAGCCCTCCGTGTCTTTTCTGTGGCATCGACTGTTGTGTCCAGCCACGCCTCAGCCATTCATTGCCTAACACTATGGACAGGCACTGCGGGACGTCAACAGCTTGAGGGCCTCTTCGCCCAAAGCAGGTGTGGAGAAGATGGAGATGTCCATGCCGCTGTCCTAGCCTCCACTCTGGGGCCACTCTCGGCTGACGGGTGCTGGTCCCCGGGGCCATTTCGGCATGGCACCTTCCAAGTTACCTGTGTGATCGATCAGGTGGAGGCTGGGCTCTGTGGGTCTCCCTCACTCAGTGGTGGGTGTGGTCCAAGCACACTTCCTTGGGGACCTCTCAGAGGCTCCCCCTCCAGGAATGCAACCCAGGACCAAGCATGCCCGTGTGTCTTTGGATAAAAACTCTGATAACAACGCAGCTTTAAAGTAAATACATAAATAATAGCTAGCCAAATATATCTAGAGCCTCTTTAAAACACACAGACATGAATACTCTATTGTTCTTCCAAAGTGAATGCATGATTTTAAATTCTTCGTTTTAAGGCCTTTCTTGGCCTTTGTTATCTTAGGTTCTTTAGTTTCTTTGCCTCTAGATCAAAGAAAGCATGCTATTAAAATAGATGTAAATTAAATAGGACAAAAATCTGAAGAACTTTTAAAAAACTGTTTTGGGGGTTCGTTTTTATTTCCTATGTTCTTTCAAAAACTATGGTCAGAGTTGTTCTTTTTTGGATAGGATGGTTATTTTTACTGCCTCCCTGGTTTCCATGTTTATTTCCATCTACTGATTTTTTTTCTTTTACTCCTTCCAAGTGGTCTGGGTTTCTTATTCTCTTCAGGAGCAGGATGCTGCTAGTGTCATAACCCCACTGAAATGGGTCGCTCCATGCTCACGCGAGTGTCTGTGGTAACAATTTTATATCACAGTGCACTGTTTACTGATACCGACTAATGAGGCCACCAGACAAATAGAGTAGCTGGAAAATGGTGAAATGTGTTCTGGTCAAAACCTCCACATCTTTGTTTTATAAACCAGAACAAATAATGCAATTATGGGTAATTATTCATGAATGCATGGTATAGAGATTTCACACTATTAGAGATTGTACTGATATAGCTTTTTATGAAACTAAGCATTAATGATTTTAGCTTGATAGGATAGTCAGACAAGAACAGAACGATTTTCTCAGTGTTCTGCAGGCATCTAAGCAAATAGATAACTATACTGCGTAACTGGTGATCCTCCCCCAAACCACAGGATCACGACTTAAGGGTCCTTAAGGGTCTTGGCCTCTGCCTTGGTCTTCCCACCATGGCGTGCCACATTCCACCGCCAGGCTGCTGTCACCTACGTCCTGCTCAAAACCTCCAGGTCTGCAAGGTCAGGTCCACTGCTGGCATGGCCTCTCGACTCTCTGTCATACGTATTTTCCCTTTCGCCAACACAGATCTGCTGCTGTTGCCAACCTGATTTGCTGCCCACCTCGTGGGTTCCCCTCACTCCCACCAGAGAGCCCCACACCACCTTGCTTAACCACACACTTCTTCTCAATGCTCAACTGTGTCCTTTCCACCAACTGACGCCCACATATTTCTCCTTGAATCCTGAGACGCGGTCACTTGGTTGCTCCTATTTAGTGTTTGGAATCCATTGCTTTATGATTTTATCACAAAAAGAGACCCTCTTCTTACTCCTGAAATCAGACACACCCCTGTTGGAAGTCTGTCTGCCATGAAATCACACTTTTTTAGAGAGAATTTTAGAGAATCTATGTCATAAACACGAGAGTAATACTTTACAACTCGTTTACCTCCCCAATTTCTATACATTCCTTAATGGCCACATCATCAGTTTCTCCCAAGAAGTTCACATTCCATCCATTTCCCCATCTTTCTCTTTTCTGCAGCCATCTCCCTCATGCCATATTCTTCTCCCCCTTTTATATGCTTATGAAATTCAGCATTTCTGCTTTGCAAGGCAACCAAGTACCCCAGATAATGCTATTTTTCCCCCTGTCAACAAGGTTTGGAAACCATTCTTCTGGTAGCCATAGATTCATTCACCTTCTTTCCTGGCATTTGAGACAAGAATCTGTATCTTTCCCACATGTTTTTAAAAATGAATATTACTACTCTCCCCTTATGTCTACCATTTTCTTCTCTCAGGCAGATGTGATATGGACTTTTGCCAACTGTGTATCATGTCGAAGTAATTCTATAGTTTCCCTCTGGAAACTCTAGAAAAATCATCTTTGGGCCATGGAGCTGGATACATCACTGGGGCCCCAGGTACAGGCCTGGAATTTCAGGATTCTGGTTAAAGAGGTCAGTGATTATACTCAATTCCATAAGTGCTTCAGATCCTTAATTACACTACTTAGTTAGAGCTAAGCTTTCTGTCTTCTGGACAGGATAGTTTCAATTCCAAAAGCTAGCTCTTCTTTCATTTAGGCTCTCATTCTTCTCCTCTTTTCCTTCCCCTTCCTTGGTATTCTGAATTTCCTTCCTTTATCGTGATCTGTAACAGCCTGACCATTGCAGCAGTCACCTTCCAGTTGCCTACTAGAAAGGCAGAAGCACTTCACGTTCCCCTTTCGGCCAAGTGAAGAAAGTTCAAGGCTGTCATCAGTCTTTTCTTTTAAAAATAGAACCCATTCTTCCCACACTTTGTTTTCAGTAGTGCATAATAGTTCTCGTAAATGTCAGCCTTTATGTAGCTGACAAGATCTTAAAAGTATTTCTCCCACATTTCATTCTAAATTATCATAGTTTTCCATACTTGGCAACGCTTAGTGCAAAAAAGATAAGATTCAGGATCTCTTACATGGCTTTGGGTTACTCCGATGTTAATGATTTGGTGGCAGTCTGAATGCTGAGCAGTATTCAGTTTGCTGGCAGAGAGAGAGAGGGAGGCAGGTTTCGGGTGATGATAATTCAGAAGATAATACATAGCTCAAGATGCTCCCTAAATTTTAATAGCATTTAATATTGAATACAAACAAGACAGAGATGTTGTGGCTGCTGTTTCATTCGTCTTTCCTTTTAATGACAAAGATCTGCTAATGTAGCAGCTTGACTTGGACCATAAAATATGGATGTCACTATGGAGACAGTGAGGCTGGTCTGAATAAGCAATTAATGCCCAACACTTGTGATATTCTATTTGTAGACTTATGGGAGGAAAAAAGGTCACAGGGAGGAATTAGAGGGACTCAGCCTGAGAGTCTGCTATAGATGCATTGACAAATGTGCACAACAATGGAATTTTCAAACAATATGATTATTAATGTTGCATAATGTCATCATGGGTCAAGAATCAGTAATGTTTGTTTTTGCTTAAAATGGCAGGGTAATAAGAAAATAAGTGGCTGAGAAATCAATGTTAGAAAAAGGTATCCAGATGGTGGTTTTAGCAGACAATTTTAACCCAGAAATAATCTTGCTTTAAGCAACCTCTTACTAATGGAAAAGGCAGTCTTAAACAAAAGATAAATGAGGGAATCATTATTTGCTTTTCAAATGACTTAGCTGTTTTCTAAAAGTGCTGTTAGTAAACACCAAGTCCTGCCAATTCTCAGCTGACTGTAACTAACTTTGAAAAAGATGTAAGAGATTTGTTTTGACTCCATTCTGCCTATCAAGGAGCAAGCATGCTTTGGGATGCATCTAATTAAATTTCTTTGCCTATGAATGAAATTTTCTGGGTCCAGTCAGTGGTTTCCAACTTGGAAATTTCCCTGGGGTTTATGAAGGCAATAATAAGCATCCATATAATGCTTTTAAGAGTACTTTACATTTCAGAATGCCTAATACAAACTGTCCTTTTATCCATGAACATGCTCTAAATACCAACTTAATTTTTGCATTTTTTCCTTTGGCTTTGTCAATTTAGTAAGCTAACAGTGGCTAACTCATGCTGAGTGATTTTAATAACATTCTAGAAATTTCCAGTGACAGATACCATAAAATTACATGTCATGTTTCTGTAAGATGAAAATATTGCAGATCCCTAAGAGTTTTCCATCCCTAGAGTTCTGATAGTTCTCTTTTCCAGGGCTCTCGTTAAAGCCACTCTCTTCTTCTAGCTGGAATTATACAATAGCCACTGAGCTCTGTCTTGGCCTCTGCCTTGGTCTTCCCACCACGGCGTGCCACATTCCACCGCCAGGCTGCTGTCACCTACGTCCTGCTCAAAACCTCCAGGTCTGCAAGGTCAGGTCCACTGCTGGCATGGCCTCTCGACTCTCTGTCATACGTATTTTCCCTTTCGCCAACACAGATCTGCTGCTGTTGCCAACCTGATTTGCTGCCCACCTCGTGGGTTCCCCTCACTCCCACCAGAGAGCCCCACACCACCTTGCTTAACCACACGCTTCTTCTCGATGCTCAACTGCGTCCTTTCCACCAACTGACGCCCACATATTTCTCCTTGAATCCTGTGACGCTGTCACTTGGTTGCTCCTAGTGTTTGGAATCCATTCCCTTATGATTTTATCACAAAAAACTGAAGACTCTTCGAAAGAATCAACTGAATTCTTGTAATTTTCTGTATTTCTCCACAGAGCCTAAAATAATTTATTTGGCTTGCTAAGGACTCAAGGATAATATTGATTGGTTTCTAAAAATTA